TTTAGAAATGAAATTTTAATTCTTACACGAAATAGTAATTTTAGGTTAACTATTTTCTTCCTTGATGATATCTTTAATTACTTTTGAGTCATCATCTCTTTAAGATAGATTTTAGGAAAGTTTAGTTTTCCTGTAGTCGAATTGGTTCGGTGTCTCGCCAATATAAGGTCATTGAATCAAAATAAAAAACACTTTAAAGTTTATAAATTATCAAAATTATTACTGTGGAACGTCTGTACTGAATTCCAAAATAAGTATCTGAATTAAATCTATTAAGGATACTATTCTACTATTTATTATACCTTAAGGACGTTTTCTAACACTATTTTTTATCAGATTAAATCTGCATCTGGAAATGAATATTTAACTGTTATAACCTAACTATATAAGGTTCTAGGTATCTTCGTGACCTATCTAATCTAATACAATTATTATACCACCTAATCAGAGGGTCTTTTTCACCTTTTTGTTCCTGAAACAAAAACAAAATTAATTAGTCATTTAATGATATTGTATTTTAAGACAATAACTATGTTATTTTATTTGACCAATTGATATTTAAACAATTGATTACTAAGTGAAATTGGATAAGAGGCGCGCAATAATGCGATCACAAATCATAAATACAGAGAATGAAGAAGCCGAGGACTCAGGGTGCAAAACCCTTTTTTGGACTGATACACAAATAACCTAAGGTATGAAATAATATATATTGTCTACTCGTCCAACTTATCACCCTGCTGTGTTGACAAAATGATACTTTTATTGAAATAATAAGCTACGTGGATCGAGTTGTAGATATACAAATAATTATCTGACAAGAAGAAGATATTCCATCATTAATAGGCTAATGCAGGTTCACATTACAGTAATATGACCGTGTTGCATAATACTAAAAAGTGATCCACAAAAAATGTTTTTAAATTAGGCAATGACCGACAATCTAAAAGATATGTAACAGAAGAAAAACTACTGGACTTATCCATTCATTTATATTAAGCCTTTTTTATTGCAATCATTCGGATTGTGTTTATTATTACGCAGACAGAGCTATTCCATTAGAAAGAAGGAGACGGTAGTTAATTTGAATGGGGATGGTTTGTGTGAATGTTTGTCTGAGGAGCAAGCATGCGTTTTAGAATGAATCCATAATTCACGTCTACTAGGCTTGCTTTACACTGCTGTCACATTTCAAAATTAATTGCGTACTTTCCTAAAAAAATAGTTGCAACGAGAAAAAAATACATTACACTAATAATAACTGGCATTCAGAATGCAAATATACATCCCTAATGTAATTTTAAAAGCCTTTTGTACGCTTTAAAACCTTATCTTTAGTCAATATCGAATTATAACCATAACAAACCTTGCAGCAATACTCTTACATACTCTCTCATAATAATTTATCACCTACGTGGATGACAACGTGAATGTTTGCAATTCGATTTTTCCAAACAAAATTAGTCTAGTAGTTGGTCGTCGTAAAATATCATGTACATGATACCTACGCATAGCTGTCATATAATGCAAATAGCACAACAAAAAAGATTAACTGTAATTTAAAATGTTTAAAATGACGTTAGAAATAGGTATCAGTACAATGACTGTAATGTCAAAATTTCAGGTTTGTTTAAGTCTTGTTTTAGCATTTAATCTAGCTGCACCTAAATACGTTGTCACTATATAGTCGCTGACAATATAGAAATTTGCAATATCTCTCTATTACTTTTATTTTTGAGGTAAACATCCATATGAGATGGTCCTTCTTTCCTACAATCCATATGTTAATTACATATGGATGAGCAAGCTATATATCTATATACATCATTGGTGCTTTCAAATAGTATTCTGATACATTAGCACCATCCTTATTTCATACATTTTGAGGGACACTACTTCTAGAGAGTATGGAGGTAGAAGGTATATGGTAAACAGAGATAGTTCTCATTACCTCTAACCTTTATAATCCAAGCTGACAATTAAAAAAAAAAGAAGAATTGTACGCCTATTGTAAGCCTACTTTAGAAACATTTTTTGTGGATTACTTTACATATTAGCAAGTAATGAAAAATACGATTCTAGTAATACCTTTTCTAGAATGGACCCAAATCGAAAATCACAAATTTGCTGGCTCTTAGAAACTTTTTGAACAACTACAGGTTGATCCAAGAACTAATTGTACTATTTCAGTTAAATATATGTACAAGTATAAAAGTAAAAGAGGGAGTACTATGAACTAACTTGGGGTGAAAAAGAATAAGTCAATAAGCTGTAGTACTATCAAAGAAAAAGTCAGAGGACCTCAGAAAAAGTATGTATTTGTGATATTATAGGATTTCTGTTTTGATATTTAACTCATTAATTCTTACAGGATAACTAAAACGCTATTTTGCTTACCTAATCGATCGATTCCTTTTCGTATTTCTTCTGGCTAATGTAATGAGAGAGCTATCCTCCGGTAAATTGAGATGCGTGTCAGAATGGTCTTGCGCCCCCATAAGGGGGGCTCCTTCTAGGCTAAAAGACCCCGCTCTGCTTCCTCCCAGATGACCAGCCATATCCATCAAGCAGTCGAAAAATGATGCTTTCTGTTTTGTACAAATAACTTTTACTTAAAGCATTTAAAACTTTTGTCATAAGTTCCTTCTTTAAATGTTAATTTTAAAGAATGCTTCGATTTCTAGGGATTACGTACTAGGTAGTACAAGCATTCTAGTCAAATGATCTAATATTTTTTTTAACTCATATGAATATATCCATTACTCAAAGACGTTATTATTTAAATTATACAGACAAAGAAAAGTTTAGCTAATAGAAAAAACATGCACTAAAATGGTTTAGATGCTGCTATACTAATTTTTTTAAATGGTTACCTGTTAATACATTTAAGAAACGTTTAGTTTTCACAAGTGATAGACCAAAAATTCTCTCAAAAAAATGAAGCTATACAACTTTAAAAAAAAAGTGGCGTAAACAGTTATTTTAGATAAACATTTTGAAATGATTACTTATTCTTAATTATCCTGATAACCATTTCAACAAGAAACTATAACTCATTTTTCTATTTTTTCTATATTTACAATAAATTTTGGTCTAATAAGTGTATTTACATGGGTAATATTTTTTTTAAAGTAAAAATCTATTTAGATATGAGATATACCCAATAATTAAATTTTCAATGTAGCTGAAATAATTTAGTTTTTAATGAGATATACAGGGTGGTATGGTTTAAAATTTCTTGTACAGGAATTTAATAAACAAGCCTAACCCTGGAATGTTAACCGGGAGTACACCTGCACCCCAGATAGGGTATAAAGTTTCACTTCTCATCGTAAGGAAGCGCTAGAGGTTTAGCTATTCTAGTATTTTCATCTGATGCTCAGTCAATCGTGGTGAAACATTTATTGTATTTGTGAATTAACACCTGAATCCCAAGGTAGCTGAAATATACTAGACAGATACATAATGTGATAGTGTTTTTAACTTTCTAGGCGATATTGTAACGTTATATTTTTCAATTGGAGGGAAAATAGATTTAAAAATAGTTTTTTAATTTGACGAAGGGAAGAGTCAGCCGAAATTCATACAATATTTTTTAATTCAGATTCTGAAGGAGATAACGAATCTGAAGATGAAGATAGAATTATCCCTGATTTTTGAGAAAATAGTGAGGATCAAGAGTAATTATAACTTGCTAATTTTTCAACTTCATAGCCAAGAATTTAAAGTTCTCGACACCAGTGAGGATGAGAGCCGCACTGTAAACAAGACTAGCCTACAAAACAAACATGAAAAACATTTATGTGGATTAAACTAAGACCTCTAGTTGTGACTGTTCTTTAAAACGGTTTGGTAAAGATCGCATCAAATTAAGTAGCAAGAAAGAAAAAGTTCATTGAATACCATAGAAAAATTTGATCGTTTATTTACCAGGCAACAGGAGGGAGGCATAGGATAAAAATTTAAAATTAAATACAAAATTTACAGAAGATGATGATGTTGAAACTGTGTTAGGCCATCGTTGGTTTACAAGAGATACTAATACAAAAATTTTAACTTTGATTCGATTGTTATATTATACTGGTGTTATGAAAATGAAAGGAGTATTCACTAAGGTATTATTTAACAAGGATTCGGGAATGTCAATATTTCGTGCAACGATGTCAGAGAGTCGCTTCCTAGTACAAGGAAATCGTATCAAAAAAGAAGTGTTGCCTTATATATACTGAGGTACTTCTGATTTTTTATGAGTTGGTAGTGATAAAATGGATAATGACAAATCCAAATTTTCTACCTCGAAAGCCCTTCGGATCACAATTAAATACTTGAAAATTCATTAAAATTTTGGAGTTTTTTTTCTGTTTTTGTCAATTTTCACCACCAAGGACCTACGTTACGGTAAAAGTTACTATAGACAATTTTAAGTAGACTAAATTTTAAATTAAATGAGAATATTTTGGTTTTGGTAGGGCAAATAGTTTTTAAGATACGGCTTTTTAAGAGTTTGTAAAATTTAAAAAATAAGAAAATATTACAGTTTCTTTTAGTTTTCGACAATTTTCACATCTAAGTAGTGGGTTTATTGGAAAAGTTACTTATATAATAAAGTTAATAAAGTTCACTAAATTCCCAACAAAATGAAATCAATTCTGTCAACTTATACCTGATAGTTCCTGAGACACAGCTGTTCAAAGTTGTTGAGGTAAGTAAATAATTATGTAGTTGGTTTTGGTAGGCCAGATAGCTTGCAAAATTTCAAAATAACGGAAGTATTATAATTTTTTTATTTGTTTCGTAGATTTTTACTAAAAGTGTGTTTTGGTTTTTACTTTTATGTGTAACATCATATATTATAAATATTATAACCGAATTTGTTTTTACTTTTAGTTGCAACTAATATCACGGAAGAAACAACACAACAAAAACCTGTGTCATCGATTTGATATTCAAACAAACATGCTAACGCCAGTACCCCGTGGGTGCGGAAAGCACGGCGACGTATGAAAGAGATGCGAAATTACTACGACTCGAATGTAACTGTAGTTTTCAATACATTAGACAAAAATACCAGGATCTCTGAACGTCTGCATAAAGCTCTAGCAACGTCCTCTCCTGATGTTATATTCGATGAAATAACCATTGCTTCAGTTGCCCTATTAAATGACAGGAATAAAGTTAGACTTATCGACATGCTGAAGGTTTACCTGGAGAAGAACAAAATTCTAACATCACAGGCAGAGGAAGATGCTGATAAGTTAACAGTAACCACAGCCATTTCCATATCCTCTTCCTACGAAGTAGTAAAGATCGTCGGCGAGGATATAGATTTGTTGGTCTTACTTTGTGGTTTGTCACGAGATGGAGGATACCATATCCTTCCAACAAACAGACCAAATAACAATATTATATTTGTTAAATGTGGGAGAGGAAAATATCCAGATGTCACCTACTCGACAAATTCCTTTACGCAATTATCACAAACCGGAATAGAACTGTTCCTTCACGCGTTTAGCGGTTGTGATACATCAGCACCTTTTGGCCAAGGAACAAAGACATTTTAATCGACAATAAAAAAAACAGCCACGCCTCGAATAAAACGCAGAGGTTTTCTTAAGCTCCAATGCCACACCTGAGCAAGTTGCTGACGCAGGAGAGACCTTCCTTGTTTCACTTTATGGAGGTAATAGAGAATTCCAGTTATCCACTGGGGCGACAGTTAAGCCCAACATGAACCTCGCCAGATTGCCCCCAACCAGGGATGCTGCAAGATTTCAGTCTCTGCGAACATACCACCAGGTCATAATAAGTGTTTCGCTGATATTCCTTTCTGCTTCAGACCACATTCTTTATACACGGTTCTTTATTTTGTTGTTGATTTTGTTTCAGTTACAGAAGTGGATGGGAAATGAGAAGAATCCTCTCGATTAGGGCTGGATGCGGAGTACAAAAGGCCTCATCTTTTAACAGATGAAGGCACTACTAGCTTCTCAAGCTCTGCTAAATATGATTTTCTGTAACTACAAAAAGGTTGTATTAGCAGTTTTGGTTGCAGGAAAGTAGGACTGAAATGCTCAGCTGTTTGCAGCTACTGCAGTGGCCAATCTTGCGAGAACATACCAGACCTGATATGTGATGACATTGATAAACCATTCATTAATGACACACCATCAAATGGCGATTTCGACCTTCCTGAGCAGTTCGATGAAAAAATTCTACCTTACCAAGCTGCCTCCAAAAGATGTGCTGTGGATTCAGAACACGAGCCCGTTCCATCAAAAATATACAAAAATTACGAGAAATAACTATTTCTCTAACTGTGTTGTACGTAAAATACAATGAGGAGTTTCATTACATTTTTTTTTTATTAGTGTTTTAATTAGAAAAATGTTTATTTTAATAAATTATAATGTTTATTTTACTAACAGGGCGTACTTCATTTTGCAAACCCTTCTAGTACATAATTGTTTACTTACCTCAACAACTTTGAACTGCTGTATCGCAGGAACTATCAGGTGTAAGTTGACATCATTTTGTTGGGAATTTAGTGGACTTTAATAATTAAATAAGTAACTTTTTCCATAAACCCACTCCTTAGGGGTAAAAATTGTCGAAAACTAAAAAAAAAACAATACTTCCTCTTTTGTGAAAGTTTGCAAACTTTTAAATCGCCGTATCTCATAAACTATTTGGCCTACCAAAACCAATTTATTCTAATTTCTTTGCAAATTTAGTCTACTTAAAAAGTATGCATAGTAACTTCTGCCGTAAGACAGGTCCTCGATGGTAAATTTTTTTTTGTATTTAACAATGATCCGAAGGGCTTTTGAGGTAAAAAAATTTGGATTTGTCATTACCATCTCATCATTACCAATATATAAAATCAGAACTACCTCCTTTGATGTAAGGCAAAAAGTACCAATTTCTTGGACTATCCTGTTTTTATTAAATTGTCTCAGATTTGACATATAGAAACTCGAAATGAAAGAAAACAAAGTGATTATTTGGCGGGCTTCCGAAAAGTGTTTGAGAAATGGATTTTAAAAATGAAGGAACTTTATGTTTCATTAGAATACACCAATATTGACGAACAACTGAGAGGATACAGAGGTCACTATATATTCATGATGTATATTTCATCCAAGCCCCATAAGTCTGGGATCAAGATTTTAATATGTTGTTATTTTAAAACATATTATTTTATTATTTTATAAATAAAATATATACAAAGAGAGATCCAATGCCCGAAAACACCCTAGCAGTTCAATTTAACTGTGAAAAACTAAAATGACTACGATAGTTGGAATCTTGAGAAAAAAAAATTTAAAAAATCCATCAATGTTTCAATAATTAAAAACTAGAAAGAAAAATTCTGCTGTTTATAGCAATCAACTCATTCTTTTGTATTACTGTCCAACAAAGAAAAATAAAAAATAGTTCTTATGCTTTCTACTAAGTATGGGAAAGAAGACGAACCAAACGAAAATATTAAATAGCCAGATGATTCTACAACGAAACTAAAGAAGATGGTCACTATGCTTGCTCTATAACTTGCCAGATATTATAAGAACAACATGCATGATTCATTTGAAAATTTCAAACACTCGAGAAAAGGAAATGATCAAAAAGACTTTACTGAGACCCTATAGGTGAGCTAACTGAATATTCCAACTTTGCCTCACCAACTCCGTAAAATTGTGGTGAAAATGTCGTGTACTGAAAATAAATGATGAAATTCAAGCATCTGATAAATTGGAGCCACAAACATAAAAATGTGCCTTCTGTACTAGTTCCAAGGATAGAAAATCCAGGGATTAATTCACCATATGTATGAAGTTCGTATGTTGAGAGCACCAGAAGAAAACATGTCTTACCTGAGGATGAATTAAATATTTCCTTCTGTAATTAATATTTTTACTTTAAAAGTAATACACTTCTTGTATTATTTTAAAATAAAAAAAAATTGCAGTAAGAAAAGGTCATTTTATTTTAGGGTACGCCTGTAAAAATATGCGGGTAGCATTCCAGGGTTAAATATAAATTCAGGTAAATTGGAAAAAGTTTCGTATTGAAGTTAGTTAGTGATAAGTATAAACTTACAATAAAAGGTACTAATTGTAGTTAGTTAAAAACATGAATAAAAAAGTTTTTAAATCAAAGACAACGTAAAAGAAGCAGATCCATATTCTAAAAGTACGGGTGCACTTGCTAACATAAACTGTAATGAAAATCTAATAAGTATTGCCATTTTTTTATATTTTGGAAAATAAAAGAATTTAACAAATCAACGAATATTCTAGGTTTCCGTTTTTACAAATTTCACTAAAACTAATATTGTTATTTTAAATTTATCAGTATGATTATCCTAGTTGTTTTTTTCTTTATTTCAATAACTCTATCTAAGCTTGTTTATGAAATCTTTTTGTAGGACCACCCTGTACGATACGAACACTACCCAAGGAAGTTTTTTTAGTTTATCTATTGTACAGTTTAATTTTCATTTCTATTTCATAAGTACCTTATAATAAAAACACTTCCTATCTACGTAACTCCTAAGTAAAAATAAATAGACTAGAGGAATATTTATAGCAAAATTCATTTTTTAAATGAATATAAATAGGAGCGTGATTTCTTCTAAATGTGTCCCAAAGAAAGCACTTATTCTTTACCAAATTTATATGATTATAATATATAATTTAAAAATTATGAAAGTAAACATCTGTAGTACATAGCAGAAAAATATGCTCAATCTCATTTTAAAAATGACTGAGTGTACATAAACTGTTCGAACTGACCAGAACTATTGTGTTAGTAGTACCAAACTGAATACCGCTTCCACAATGTCTTCTTTTTCTGTTTTATTATTTATACGAACCTGAGTAAAATTAGAGGAAAAATCCTTCAACAAATAATCATGACAAATTTTACAAAACGCAGGAATTGGGAATTTAGTGTTTTTTTTGCTTTACACATGTATATACATTTTAGGTTTTGTTTATTAATACAACACATGCTTAGTAAAATAGAAAAGTAAAATACTGATAGTAAAAAAAATATGAACTGATATTAAGTAGATGTATTTTTCTGTACAAGAATTTGTTTAATGTGAATGTATTGCATTCTTTGTAGAAATTAAAATTTTTGTAAAAAATTTTGAAATTTGCATTTTAAAAGATAATGATTGAAAGATGTGGCGGGTGGTTTAGCGAGATTAAAACTATAGTTTGATAGTGAAATATCGCCAGAATGAGAATATTTTTTAATTCAATCATTGTTCACCTGGAAAACTATAACAAAGACTATTACTTAGATATGGATAAATATAAAAATTAATATTAAAAAATATCTCAAATTATTTTTTTTTATTGGTGTCTTCGGCATTATTTTCGTGCTCTATGTAGGTTTTGGAGTACTGGTAGTCGACTACTCCATAGTGTAGGAAAGCTAGTACTCTAATACTCCTGCACGCCTACATACAGGACTTGTTACCGTTTTCCAGCACCATTTTAAGAATGGCACTGTTAATTTGAACCCAACAGGGAATGGCCGGACTCGAGAATCCTACCTATGCATCAGATTTGTCAAATTTATTTTAAAATTCTGATGTATAGGTAAGATTCCTCACTATTCTAAAAATTATATCACCAAAATTCACACCTAAACAAATACTGTACAGAACTTTATATCATTTTCAAAGTATAGATCAAGTTAAAAGTATTATCCCACTATGTTTTGTGAGCTAATTATTTAATTTTTTAACTAAAAGGAATAAATAATTTAGCATAGAAACATGTATAAAAAATACCTACAACATTCAACATATTTTTATTTTTGATATATTGTACCAAATGTTTTGTAGTTTTAATAGCAATATATTATTATATTATATTTTTAGAAGTTCAAAATTCCTGTAAATCACACTTTGAAAATGTTTTTCTCATTTCCATATTCTCGTCACATTCATATCAGTACATGTTAGTATAAAAGAGCTGAATCAAAGTCATGCCAACAAAGAATTTACTGAAAACCAGAATACTATAGTAAATATAACTGCACAGTACACATGCACAAATATGAGTAAATATTCAAAGTGAAGCAATAGTAATAGAAAAAGTATTTAAGAGACATCTTAAACCTAGTGCAGTTTGCAGTATTTAAAAGAAAATCTATTTCTAAACTGTGGCCTAGGAGCCATTAAAAAAGGTTTTCTGAATTTGTTGAAAATTTATAATAATTGTATTCATACCTATGACAAAAAAATGTTATTGCAGATAATGTGTATACTATTTGATAAAATTGATCAAGCTAGTTTAAATTAGAAATTTAATATATAAAATAGACGACCATGGAAGGCAAATAGATCAAAAAATAATTAAACGGCGAGTGCCATACCTCCAGAATCTGCCTGGCCACCTTAAAACAACACTGAAAACCAATTTCCTGTTAAGCATATATCCCTGGAAGTAGTTGTTTGTTGTTATAAGGCAGCCGCACAGATTCTCGAGGTATGTCACTTGCCGTTTATTTATTTTTAATTTAAATTTGTTCATAAAAAATATTGCCAGGTTATCTAATTTCCATTTAATAGTTTTGTTTGTAAATATAAATAATTTTTTTTCAAATTGGAAAAAGTTTTAAAAAAAGGTTAATTATTTTATCGAGAGTCTGTTATTAACCCCTATATTGTCAAGACTGGCATGGTTTGGGAGATTCCAAAAATGTGTTTCTTCAACTCAAGATA